ATTTTTTTTTAATTTTGGAAAATCGTCGACGTTGAAGAAATATTTGCATTTAAATGTAGACAAGATTTAAAAATTTAGACAGATAAAGTTGATTGTTTCTTAAAAATTTTTTTGAAAAGCTATCATTCTAATTTTTAATTCGTAGTAAGTTAATTAAATATCTCGATTACCTTTAATAAGAATTTTAATTCTAATTATTAATAATTGCAAAAAGTAAAAATAAAATTAATTGACGAATAAAATATCGGTTATATATAGGATATTTTTTCTTAATCCTTAGAAAATTTTCGACGTTGAAGAAATGTTTGCATTTAAATGCAGACAAGTTTTAAAAATTTAGACAGATAATTTTTGTATCTCAAAGTAATCTTTTTCGTCTATATGTGAAAATTGGCACGGCCCCTTTTGCGCGATTAAAGGAGTTTCGACCCAGTGATCGCAGAGTCGTTAAAGGGGGCACCGCGTACACTCACATACTCATCCATAAAACCACCGACACGAATATAGGGTACGTTATTCGAGCGAATGTTCGTTTCCCAGGTGTGGTCATTAACTCTGCTCAGTGGCGAGAAAATAGTACGGAATCATCACGAGAAGCGTGTATATATATGTATGTATATAAGTATATATATATATATATATATATCGACCGCAAGGGGATCAAAACACGGACGAAGACGAGGAGGAGGCCTCCATCGCCTCCGCGAAGGCGAGGCGGAATGACGCGGAATTGAGCGGAAGTCGCTCGTGGCCTTCGCCGCGCTGACTTTTCGTCTCGCACGCTCGATACTCGACGATATATAGAATGAAATCCTAGAATTGTCATCTCTTCTCGTAATTGAAAAATGTGAGAAAAAAGCCTCGCATTAAAATTAATTTTTCTTTCTAGAAAAGAATTATAAAGGAAAAATAAAATTCAGATTAATTTCTTCTTCAGCAAAACTGACATTGTAGTCTTATAGACTTGTACAAGATAAGGAATGAAAACAAGTGAGACTGTAAACAAACACAGATAATAAGGTTTTATCTTTGGCATCGTTTCAATCTCAATGTTTTATTTCAAGCAAATATAAAAATTTTATTTGAAAGTTTTTATTATCAAGATATTTAAAATCATAGACGAAAACTTGCGCGCTGATATGATAGCTTTCTGTGAAATTTTCGCTACGAATTTGTCATCAGCGGGACACCCCGTGTATAGGATTATCAGGGATGAAGTCATCGCGCATTTTCCCCGAAAAGTATTCGATCCGTATTTCTCGATACGGGAGGGGGGGG